TCGCCATAATAATAACAATAATAATTTTTTTAAAAAAAGGCTAAGCAGATTAATGCATGAAATTCGAAAACCAAACATAAAATAGATTAGAGACTTACCAATACGGCCCGTAAAGAGCCCAATCGCGAACTCAGCAGTAGAATACGCCACATTAAGTGAAATCATGATCAGCAACCTCTTCATTTGCCGGTTACCGGTTCTTATAACCCGAAAAATCCACAAAAACGAACCCAAAACCGAAAATTTCTCCGGCACCGCCGATCTTTTAGCTTCCAAAAGCCCTTCTTTTACTTCGTCAAAAGAGTAAAACCCTGGGGGTATATCGATGCTTGAAGCAGTCCTCGATAGAAAAGGCTTCATTGAATCGTTGGAGAAGTTCGAAATCCTCGGCGTCTGAGGATCTTTCTGCGATTGGTGAAACGAGGACTGCCGCGAAAACGCGTAACGCCGATCGCTTGCGTTGGTGAATCCGAAATCGGCGTTCCATGGATGAGGTGAATCGGGCTCTTGAGAGTAGTATTTGAATGATTTCTCTCTCTCCATAATTAAAAAAACACAAAAACAAACTATATTTTTGCTTCAAAAACCCTGATTAATTGACGATGGATCTTTAAATGAGAAGAAATTAGGCGCCATTGGATTTTAAATTACATATTACAATGCGAAATTTGAATGATCTAAAAACGGAAATAAGAAAAAAGAAAGGATTTTTTTTTTTGTTAAAACGGAGTTTTCTCCCTTTAATTGGGAATTTGAGATTTTAAAAGCATGGAAAATTTTGGGCAATTGAGGTTTTAGTGATTGTACAAAAATGAAAGGAAAAAGCCCCTGTTTTTGTTCAAAAGAAGACTTGGGGGCTTACGAGTCGCGAGACGGCCGGTCAAGTAAACGGAGGAGGGAGTTTTTAATAGCGTGTAACCATACCTGGGGCTGGAGTACCTAACCCGAGTTTATGTAGGTCCTAGGTTTTAGTGTTGGGACTTGGGACCACTAGAGGGTTTTAGTGACGGATTAATTTATTATTGAAAGGTCCTAGTGTTAAGCCAATGTGTTTTTATTGCCAAAGTGAATGAACTAACCAATTAAATTAATCCGTCTTTGGTAAAGTAACTATCCTTACTTATTTACTAGTTTCTAATCTAATTCACTGGAGGTTTGTGATAAGAAAATTCAAATAACTTAAGGAAGATATTAAAAGACTAATGAGTACGTTAATAGTAATAAATAGTGTTTATGACATATTTAATTGCTCATGAAATTAGTACGAACAGTACATAACATATAATTAGGAGTTTGGTGGTGTTTGATGATAAAGTGCACGTATCATCTTGCTCGTGAGAGCTAGGTTTAAATTATTCATTTGCCATAAAAAGCTTACCGAAAGAAAAGGAGATTTAAACCTTAACTTTTATTCTTATCAAGAAAATCAACTCGTATATTTACTTTGATTGTTGCCTGTTCTCTTATTGTTGTTACTAAGTGATATTAATTTTAATTAAAGATGTATTTTTTTATACATATGATTTTGAACTTTATATAAAAAATATCTCTTTTTCATCTCATAAACTCCTACTTTTCTTTTTAAAAAACTTTTAAATTAAAATATTAAGTTCTAACCAGAAAGCCATTTTTCTTAATTAATTAAAAGGATACATTAAACACAATGTAATTATATTACTTAAAAAAAACACATTGTTAAAGGTGAATGCATAAAAAGGTTTGGGTCAATGCACTCAAATTTCTAGCTCAATGCCCAAGTCGAAATGGAGTAGGTTTGGTGGCAGATCTACATTTTGAAATAGTAAGAGCTCTCGTCTCTAAAAAAATTTTAAAATTTTATAATATATTTTTTATTTTTAAAAAATTTTATTTTTATAAATATTTAATTTTAATATAATTATTTTATAAATATTAATTTTACTTTCTAAATAAGAAATCTTGATTCCGTTATTGAAAGTAACCCCATCCGTACTGTCGAGAAAGTTTTCAACGGCACATGAGCATAAATATCAAGTGATCATATGTTGGCTCAATTAATCTTGTCGAACCTTTACCTCAAGAAATACAAAGGCTTCGGTGCTTGAAATGACAAGGTCTAGCGTCTGCCGTGGTAGCTACACGTGTTATTACATGAACTTTTATAAGTCCTCTTTAAGGTAGAACAGATCACGAAGTTCACGTTGATATAATTGATTAATGTTGATCTTAGCTCCCACCATGCGGATACGAACTTAAGTAAACTTCTTTATATTTATAACAAGAAATTCATGAGTTATTTCAAGATAAGAATACTTTAATTAAGCAACATTTAGTAATGATGGATCTAATTAACTTCTCTAATGAAGCAATTAGAGTAACCTTCGACAGATAAAGAGAACAACTCTCTTGTTTAATTAGAAGCTAATTACACAAGAAAGTAATACTACATTTAAAATGCAGGACACAAAAATTAAGTTCCCTTTAGCGTAAGGTAAAGGAAATGAGCCAAATTTTAGTGAGGCATGATGATAAACTGATTTCATACTTGATGAGGAAAGAATATTATATAGTAAGGATAATCTATCCTATTACGTATGGATGATTTTGTGAAAACTTTGATTCTGGAGTTAAGATAAAGTTTAATGAAGGAATAAGATTTAAATTTAGCACTTTATTTAATAGATACAATTTATTACTATTTTCTAACGGGTGCATTTCTATTATTTATTACTCATATTTCTTTTTTAATTTACTTTAAAATTAGTTAAAAATTAATTATACAAAAATTCTATAAAATATTTTAATTTTTGACAAATTTTCAATAAAATGAAAAGATACAATCATAAAATTATACTTATTTAAAGATAAATAATAACTTTTATTATTAATTGAAGTAAAGTGTATACCTTATGTCTCTTATCAATATAAACTTTCAAACTAACTAGTGTAGATTTTAGAGATTTTTAATTTTATTTTGTTAATGAAATAACAATATTTGATGAACTCGTAATGTATACAAATCATAGACAAATATAAACGTTTTTTATTTTGAGTATAGAAAAGTTTGGCATTTTGTTCTAATTCTATTCTTCTTAACTAATATATTTACTTAAGAAAAGGCATTACTTCTTAAGTGGACCGTCAAGAGGGAGTGTCGATGTCGAAGAACTCTCTCCAAAAACAAACGCTTATCCAGCCTTTCTTGACAATCAATCAAGGAAGAAAGTTAGGACTCGTGATCCTAATACTGATGATAACCAAAACAATGACCAGATGATTGTCCTTAATAATCCTTCTTTTAAGGAGGCTTTGCTTTGCTTAGAGCGGATGGTGAGGATATCTTCTGATGGGGAAAAGAATTTTGATCAGGACTCAAGCGGTGATAACGATATTGAGATGTCCTGCAATATTGATGGTTCTAAATTGGATTGATTAAAGGGGTTCCTTCAATTACAATTTTTGATCGAAAGCTACGAGAACTAGTAAAACGGTGGCGGAACTCGATTATTGTGAGGCTTCTTGGTTGTCCAATCTCATATAAGTTATTATGTGAGAAAAAAATGCCTTGTTATGGAAGCCTAAAGGGAGGTACAGTATTGTGGATCTTGATGAGAATAGTTGTTTGGTTGAATTTGTGGAAAAGGATGATTATCTGAAGGCACTACTATGGGTGATTTTACGGCATTATTTGATAGTCAATCCATGGACACCATCGTTTTCCAGGGATAAACAGGATCTCATTACAATAGCGGCATAGGTAAGATTTTCGGATATGCCATTACATTTGTACCACAAGTCGATTTTAAGAAAAATTGCCTCCTTGCTTGGACGCTTATCAAAAATCAATTATAATACAAATTTTTTATGAGATTCGATATTCTATTTACGTTTATATTACATGTTATGATACATACAATTACGTAAAAAAAATTCAATAACAATCATTAACATAGTATGCCGAATTCTAACATTGAAGGAATTAATGGTGTTTGGAATTTAATTTGCAAATGGCATGCCCCCGAACAGATTCACACTTTTCTTTTCCTTTATCTTCATAATAAATTTTTTGGGAATAAGAAAGAGTGCGAAGGAAAGTTTCTAATGACCCTACATCCCCACTATCTGGAGTAGAAGAAGAATCGATATTGCATAAAATAAGAGTCTGTCCCTTAGCTAATGCATTGTGCTTTAGACTCCTCCCATAGAATCCACAAGGTATATTTCATACTATTTCTTTATTAGAATGGATATCTTTTAACTTAAATATAAGCAAAGTTATGGTTAAAGGGATTCCATGGAATATGGTGTTTGGTATCTCATGTTGGTTCCTTTGGAAATGGAGGAATTCATTCATATTGGAGAATAAAATTCTTCCTACAGGGGGCCACTTGAATTTAATTCAAAAGCTGGGTATGGGATACACATTCAGCTGGAATAAATTTTTTGTAGGAAGGGAGTTCAGATGCAGTAGCCAAGGTGGAATGTTCGATAGGATGGTTACTACCTACTGCGAGTTATATTGCTCTAAATGTTGATGGTGCTTTTGGACATTCTTTGGACAAGGCAGTAGTAGGAGGTGCATTACGATGCACAAAATGAATGGAAGGAAGGTTTCTCACTCAAATTAGATAAATGCTCAGCTTATAGAGCAGAGCTTTGGGGTGTTTACAAAGGTTTAAGTTTGGCATGGGACTTGGGTTACAAGAAAATTGATTTACAAGTTGACAACAAGATGGTAGTCCAAGCTATTAATACTACATCAACTCACCCTTGTCCTAATTCAGACTTGATTCAGGCAATCCGTAGTCTTGTTCAACGACAATGGTAGGTGGTTACACAATATGGCTAACAAAGATTTCACAGCAAAAGAAAGATTTATTGTCTATAATAATCCTCTTTTAAATATTAGAGACTTACTATTATATGATGTAAGGACACTTTGTTTTCCGTGATTAATAAGAATATAAACTGATCTGTTTTCTAAAAAAAATTCTTCTTCTTTGCATTAAAATTATATATATTTTATTATTCAAAATCCAAAATCCAAAATCCAATCATCTTTATTCACAAGAAAAAAAAATCAAATCATTTTTCATTGGATATTTTAATGCAAAATAGGCAATCCGGGTTTTGTCCCGTAGACTGAGATCAATCTGTGAAAACAGCTCCGACAGGGGTTTAAGGTTTTGACCACTTTGGAATCCATACGAAGTGAACCCGCTTTTACTTTTCTTTTCTTGTTTCTTGACAAACAAAAAGAGCAGAGAAGCAAACAAGAGGCGAAAAATATGGCGCTTTCCACATCTATGAATTCCTTCTCCAAAATCCCCAAAGCCGCTCCTAAAAACCCAATAATCTTCAACCTTCTCAAAACTCCATCATTGAAACCCCACCTCAAACTCAACCCCATTTCAAAACCCTCTTTTCTTTCGCTTTTCTATCAGCCGTCCAATTTCAGACCCAAAACTCAATGTTGTGGAAGCACCACGATCCGCTCCCTCTTCACCGGCATCGTCGAAGAAATGGGTGAAATCAAGCAACTGGGTATGGCCGATCATGGCGGATTCGATCTCAAAATACACGCCAAAACCGTAATGGAAGATGTCAAGCTTGGTGACAGCATTGCCGTTAACGGAACTTGCCTAACAGTAACGGATTTCGATACTCGTTTGGGAGAATTCATGGTTGGGTTGGCCCCTGAAACCCTGAGGAAAACTTCATTGAGTGAATTGGAACCCGGGTCATTGGTGAATTTGGAGCGGGCTATCCAGCCCACGGGCCGGATGGGGGGCCATTTCGTGCAGGGACATGTCGATGGGACGGGGGAGATCGTGGGGAAAGAGGTGGAGGGGGACTCGTTGTGGATTAAGGTTAAGGTTGATAAGAGTTTGTTGAAATATGTGGTGCCCAAAGGGTTCATAGCTGTGGATGGAACTAGTTTGACTGTGGTGGCTGTGTTTGAAGAGGAACTTTGTTTCAATTTTATGTTAGTAGCTTATACTCAACAGAAAGTGGTGATTCCTTTGAAGAAAGTTGGGCAAAAGGTGAATTTGGAGGTGGATATTCTTGGCAAGTACGTGGAGAGGCTTCTCAGCAGTGGTTTTGTTGATTCCATTAAAGGTTCATGAAATGCAGAAAGTGACAAAGGTTTGGTTTTTCTGGGTTTAATGTATCCTTAGTTTTTGTTTTTAGTTTGTTGAGTCTGAGGAAATTTGATATTCAGTAGTTTCTACTATATTTAGGATTTGAAAGGAGCAGATTGAGTAATGATTCGTATGTTGTAGCAGAATCTATTGTGTTAGTGCAGTGATATAGCTGTAGTTGGAATGATTAGGTGAAGGACATCAGTGCCATAGCCCGTGAATCTGTTTTTGTTAGCTCTTGTGGACGGTGTCTATGGTTAAATGCCTGATTTCTGCATGCCTTATTGGATGGGCTTGACTGACTGATGGTAACTGGGGACAAAGAAGTGGGATAGTTGTTCTAAAGCTTTTGGGATGATAACCTTATTAATCCTGAAAGATTGTCTATATCAGTCAGACAGACAGACAGGCATTTTGTATCAGTTGCTATTCGTCCAATATATTTTCCATTGCAGCTGGAATTTAAGTGCTTCTGCTTGTCTTTTTTCTCCAGTTGTGTTATATGTGTGTGGACACCTAAGTGATGGAGCTGGGCTCTGTTAATAATAAGTCAGTTGGAGGCAGTCGCATTTGGCTTTACTTTGGTAGGGCTGAAGGAATTTTTTTTTTATTAATCTAATGGTTAGGTTTCATAACCATATTTACTATTTTGTACTCGACCCTTAGATTAGAATTTTTCTTTCCTATTCATCCTCTCTACCAAACAGAACCATAAAGTTTATTGAATATCCAATATTGCTTTCATGTCATGAATGGACCATATACTGCAATGATGTGCAGATTTGAGAAAAAAAAAAAAGAGCAAGAATTTCAATTTTAATCATCTGTACATAACTACATTAAGTGTCTGCAGTTGCCTTCAGTATAGTCATCTAATTTTTCTTGCTTCCATTTTGTATTTGAGGTTTGAGTTAGTTGACATTTTGGTGCACCACCTCCGGGAATAAACTGCCTAACTGAAACGAACGTCATGTTGCAATTTCTTCTTTTGATCTTTGACTGAAACATGATACAGTATGTCAATCTTGTAAAAACTCATGAGATCGAAATAGCTAGGCTAATAGGCTTTTGTCTGAAACTCCAGAAACGGTGTTGCATGTCAGATGTTTGCTTTTCTACTCTAATTATGCCCAACACATCAAAAGAGTAGTTTCTTCTTAAGTTGTTATTACCCACAGACGTTTGCCATGAGTTCTTGTTTGTGTTTTTGTATATGTGGACATTCTTTTTTAAGCTACCCTCTCAACCCAGATCTTGACACCCCTGTTCCCTTTTCAGGTGCTCCTGGCTCCCCCAACATCGGAAAGACATCGAGGGGTCCAAAGTCTGAAGTGTGTGCTAAAATTTTTTAAGATCCAGAGGCAAGAAGTTTCAAATATTTCATTTCAACAAAGGGTGCCTTTGGATGACCTAAATAACAAAAACTTCTTCATTCAAGGTCTTGAATTAAAGTCTATTTCTTTGATCAACATTCAAGTAAAGGTGCAGTGATCTTGCCACATGTTTACTTTACTTTTTCTTGGATGAACAAAAATGGAATACTGTTTTATTTTATGAAGGTGAAATGGACCAATATATATGAAGGTGTTAAAAATAAATTAAGATGTGCTTATTTTTTATCTTGTTTATGGGAATCTATTGTGATTGAGGTACATTAGATACTGTTTCTGATCTCTGTGACTTTCCCTCAATAATTTGGTTGGAAAAACTTAGAACAATAGTGAAGGGTGGATCAGCCATCCAAGTTTTGCAAAGACTCTGGGCTGTTCCAGTTGTTTCAGCCGATTGATATGGGCTTGAACTTGAACTAAATGGTCAGGCTTTTGACCTTGGGCTTAGCCTGACTTGCCTCAAAGGTAATATTATTTTTGTTTGAAAAGAAAAGGTAATATTATAATTATATATTACTGAATGGTACTTTCTCCATTACAAACTCAACGCTCTTTTTGCAAATGGTATAGAGTTCTAAATGTTGAGTATTTTCTTTTTATTTTACAAATTTTATTTTGAAGTGACATAAAAATTGGAGAGTTTTACTAAAAATTAGTATTTCAATAAAAGTAATTTTAAAAAAGTGAATATATTTTTGAAATATTTTAAAATAATGAGATGGATATTCAATTTGAAATAGAATATATTTTTACTTATATTTAATTTTAAAATTAAGGTAATGAATAGAGTTGGATTGAGTTAGGGCTTAGGTTTAGAAAAGTTGGTCTGATTGGTTCTGCTTGAAGTAAGTCACGAGCATCTCTAGTTGAGGGCATTAAAGAACATTTAATTAGTGTGTCTTAACTAGTGGACTTAAAGATAATAGACATTGGCCGAATCTTCTATGATGGGCTACAATGGATCAAAACAATTTTTTAGTGGAGTTCAATTCTTTCAGAATTCATCCAAAGTGAAAGAAACTTGGCATGGATTTGGTCACATCGACTCACCATTAATTTTGAAAGAAATCATTACTAAAAGCCACTCTTAATTGAGAAGCTGCTAAAACGACCTCTCTTCCAATGAGCTTTTACTCATTTTTGGTGGTTATTAAACAAGGAACATTACCTACAACAACTCTCCTTTGCCTATTTCCCAACAAATCTGCTCTTCGTCCTCAATCCATACCCCATCACCATTCTTTACTCTCAAAATTTGAAATTCAATTATTTCAATATGAACAGATTAATACTCATCCTAATATACCTTTTCTAATGGAAAATATGCCCCAATCTTCCGCAGGCGAAGCAAAAATCCAACTTCTCAACCTTCAGATTAGCTCAAGTACGCTCCTTCCTTTTTCCGTCGGTCCAGTAATTGCTTCCCTACATCCAAACTCACTCTAACCCTTAAGAACCCTCCAGGATCCTCAACCTATCTTCTGGCCAGTTGTTACTGCATTTTGCCTCGTTAACAAGTCTGATGGAACATTGAGGATCTGAATCCAGATGTGTATTCCTGCGACACAAATTTCACTTGCCATACATTCTGGTAGCCATTCTTTGAGAATCATACAACAACCCATTGCAGACCACGGCCCCTTATCTAAAGCCCTCCTTATTTTCTTCCCACAGGAGAAATAAATAGTTTAAATATTGATAACAGGAGCGTATGCCTAGTTAGGCCAAATCCAGAATCTCCTTCAAAGAAATAGTTAAAATATTGATCAAGGAAAATTGGAATCCTACACTTTGAGCAAAGATATCATACATCCAACTATAAAATTAAATGCTCGCATGCAAATTGAAATAAAAATTTAATTACAGATACAAAGCATTTCCCATTTACTATCAACACAAAATATAGCTTTTTCCATTTATTTTTTTTTTCCTTCAATAAAAATATCTAGCTATAGTCAGAAGTATATCCGAACAGACAAACAGGCAGGGAAAGAATCATCTTGATTGCCATTCAACTCATATTTATTCATAAAAGCAACTAAACAAGTTAATTAGTAGCCTCCAAGACATTAATCAATTGAACAGTAGAAATTACAAATCTCTCTTGTCCATCCAATCAAATGAGTATTTTATACACAAAGTAAATATAGTTAGATCGAAGTTCTCTTCCCCGAGCCTTCGAAAAACTGTAAATGGAACAAACTAAAGGCAGTTGCTTCTCGGATCAACCGAAGCATTTGAAATCACCTTTACAATAAACCAAGCTTTTAAGAGTCTCCAAATCTCTCCTACCATTCCTCTTTACAATACAACTACAAAGTTTGCAGGGACAAGAAAATGGAATATTTGCAACATACATAATTAATCTACTAAATTCCTTGGTCAAGAAGCATGTTTGCAGAAACAAGTCTATATACAGATTTTGTCAGCAAAATAATCCATTACCAATTTCAGTAGATACACTTGCTTCCTCCAAATTCTTCACACTTCATAAACATGGGTGGTTGACTCATCCTCAACACCATAAAGTCATGTGTGAGACTCTGACAATATGCATTCTGCCCAAAAATCGGATCCTAGAAAGCAGAACAAGAGAAAACAAATAGCTTAAAATGTAATCATTGTTCAAAAAAAAGAGAATCAATTCAATAAAATTTTAGATGAGAGAAACTGGATATTAATTACCATATAGAAATTTTAGCAGATTAGAAACAAAACAAAATGAATGCCAGCATTGATTATTATAAAAATTCTAGCAGAAGAAAAAGGAAACTACATGTAAGGCATCTCATCAACCCATCCAGATATTATTTTGTCACGTAAATATAGTGATTTATTACTTGAAAACCTCAAATACCAATGGAAGTTAAAGCACCAGACAAGCAAATTCCTCTCAGGAAAGAAACATTAAAAGAATTTCACTTCCAACTGTTCAGTATGTTACCCTTACAGGCATTCACTGGACAAGGTGTGGCAAAGGAATCAACTGTATCTCATGCCTGCAAATGATAGTCAAGAGTGAAGGCACGAATATCAGATGGCCCTGTCCCAAGCCTGCCAGCAAATATCAGAAACAAAACACGATAATGGTAAGCTTTCATAAAATTAATAATAAAACAAAAGGTAAATCAAAGTCACTGAGGAGTGAGCAAAAGGGCAAAATTCTCTATCTCTTTGATAGGTCACATCACAATAGGATTTACTGCAAAAGTAGAAAGGAATCTCAACATTCACACAGCCAATCCAAACAGTTAGGCAAGAGAAAATGAAACTGCAAAACTTAAAATTGCACTTTTACTCTTCACCAAACATCAGGAAACAGGTTTTCTCCCAATTTCACTGTTTATGTATCCAAAATAATAAAAAATATATATATATACCTTTTGTTAATGGTACCATAGTGAAACTTTATTTTTCCAGATTTAACATCTTCAATGTACTGCACCAACAGAAATACAATACAATTAATTAAGATTTAAGCTAAATGGTTGATGAGAATAGTAAAATAAATTTTAAAAAGATTTATTTTCATCAAAACAAAGAAATAAGGCTCTTACCAAATTCAACGTAACAAAAATTGAAGAAAATGCCAAAGAATCAAAAGGTATATTGTCCAATTCAAAGAGACAGCACTCGGATGACTCTGGTCCCGGTGAAAAGTGGGGCTTCTTCAGCTTTGCTAAGAAGATTATGTAAGTCTGCTCCAAAAAGAGACAGGAATATCGACACAGAAACATCTTCAGTAAATGCAGAGGAAATAAAAGTAGAAGTAATAAAGGATGCTCTCACTAACTTGGCCAATAAGAGGAATGTCCAGTTGTGCAAAAGGGGACACCACTTCCACTTCAGCCCCTGCTTCTTCCCAAGTTTCCCTGACTGCCCCTTCTGCAGCTGACTCCCCAATTTCCAGGTAACCAGCAGGAAGGGTCCTACATTAAGGCCACCAGGTCAACTCAAGTTTTTATATTAGCCATCAGAAATGGTAGAAATTAGCTACTTGACAAGAAAGGAAAGTGCTAGTAGCCTATATTCAATGCACAATTAATCTCCACAAGTAAATAACCAAAAATTAAGAAGAAAAACAATATGTGAATCCTTTCCTAAACCAAATTCCATTCAGTACATACATACCAAAGACCATAAGAAGGTTCAATGTTTCGCTTGCAAAGTAGGATCTTTTTCTCATGCTCAATGAGGCAACCGACAACCTAAAAGTATCAATTGCAAATAAGAATTAAGTATACAAAGTAGTACACATTAAGAAAGGAGAACAGGGATTCAGAAGACATGCTGTCGCACATTTATTCAAATCATTATTTCTCCAGTAACCATCCAAAATCACAAGGAATACCACCCCCATCCCCAATGCAAGTGGGCTGTTTAAGGAAGGAGGCAAATACCATACTCTGACTAGCATGAGTTAGAGTTCATGTCAGACATTGACAAAGTTATTCAATTTTGCAAAATGGTAAAGGCAAAAGGATCTCAACCAACTAATTACCACTTTCTCCAGGATACAGAAAAATAAGACCAACCCATGCCATGAAAAGCACCCACATTTACACATTAGCATTTTGAAATAACCAGCGGCTGCAACCATTTAAATAAACGGATAAAAGGAGTAAGCTTGGAATTAGGACACCCCGTACTGTGTGTATCCTAATTCCTAATAAATAAATAAAACTCACAACTACAGTAACCATTAAAGATGATCAAAATAAAATAATTACATTTCACTTTGAAGTTGTAGATTAAGGTAGGCCTTCCCATGATCCGTTACATTACTTTCAAAAATCTTGGTAGAAAATAGGGAAACAATCATAAGATCATACACTGAGGAATAGAACAACCGTTGTTCTAAAAAATAATAATAATAATAAAAAGTAACCACATCCTATATAAAACGTAGGGGGCCTTCTCTTAAGAGATATAAGAAAGCACAGCAACATCATTAGTTATCTGCATGATACCCATACATCAAAGTGAAGAAACTGGAAGAGGCAAAGGCTAGAACACCACAGCTATACTCAGGCAATAGCATGCCATGTCGCAAACAGCAGCTACATTCTAAATTTGCTGCAATAAATGAACATACCATTTTTGGATTTTGATAGGCAATTTTTCCACAAAGAGTGCAAATAGCTCTTATCTTCTCCTCTCCGTCAGGTATTTCATGCTTTGCTGGCCCACCACACCACTGACAGAATTTGATCTTATGAACATTGCCCTGTAACATAATATAGATTACTCAATCACGGACATACAAATAGGTATTCTACTTAAAATGTTCTTAGTCTTGACCTCCAGGGATACATATACCAGCACAGTGGGAGAAAACAACTATGAATAGCGTCTATACAGAATGTCAGAATCCATCTTTCAGTTATTACTTCATCAAAGTGATTTAGTTTTGCAATTATCTTGTTTCTGAGAACGGTTAAGAGTACCATCATCACTAAGAGTTTCAACAATAATAAACTTTGAAAGAGAAATTAATGACTGAATACTCAACAATAGAGCACGTAAAATATAATTCCAGTGCTACTCCTTCAAACCAAGTTAAATACTATAAGAGCATAACAACCACCCAATAATAAGACATGAGCATCCACAAAGGAGTACATCAAGGCATACTGTGTGCTTTAAACTTCCTAGAAACCTCCTTGCCTCATGCTTTATTGCTTGCAATATTTCAGAAATCAAGCAAAGGAGCCATTTCTGACTAAGATAGAAATCGGACATCAAACATGACATGAGTGGTTTTTCCTTTTGGCCAGGAGGAGGAATATTGGGGGATCGGGGAAGGGGTTGCTTGGGTTTGAATCTAAGCCTACATGCCTCACTAATGATCCTAGTTGCCACCAGGCCAAGTGCGGCTGGCAAACATTAAATGAGTTTGACATAGCCGGAATGACAGGGAGCTACTAATATCTAATATAGAAAATAATTAACAACTACAAGAATAAGGGGGAAATTTTATGAATTTTATCCACAGCATATTAGCATCAAAATGGTGAAAAAAAAATTAATTGCTATCAAGCAAATATTTCTAAACAAACATATCAACTAAAATATAGACGATCCAAATAATAACTGATATTCTTATCTACAAAGGACAAAGTAAAGGAGCAAGAAAAATTGGTAGTGTAATTTTAATGTTTTTCTTTTCATCATACTGCAAAATGGTACAAAAGTTAAAGTTCAAATCATCAAGAAAATGGAGTTTGAAAAAACTGTCCAAACTCAATGAGTATATCCTTTTTTTGGTCAATATGAACCATATTTCATGAACCTGAAAATAACTGCCTAACGTGCTAGAGAACTCAAATCCAAGGGTTGAGACAAAAAACCAGCTAAATGCTATTTGTTTATCTATGAAGAAAACCAAAACTCTAAACGTACAACTGCACCAAGCTCTAAAATCACTGTAAAATCAAAATCAAACATGGTTGCCTTATACAATGAATCATCCAATTGATAGCATAAGTATCAATGTAGGTTGATCCTATTATTATAATCTGCATTAACCAAAATTACATTTCCATAGGCAATTAATCCAAACCCACAATTCAATATTCCGAAAAGAGTTACTAGAACCAAGATAAAACCAAGTTCACCACATGAGCATTTGAACCCCGAACAAACACTTAAGTTTTTTGGTCAAATTGGTAATAATAATCACATACAAAGCATACTACTACATAAAAGTAAATTACTTAATTAATTGCCTAATTACCCAAAAAAAAAGTCAATTTTTTCTATTAGTGCATGTTAAATAGACCACAAAATCCAAATTCAGAAGAAAATACTCACAGCCGAATGAACTGCAACCGAAGAAAAAGAAGAAGAGGATGCAGGAGCATTTGAGTTGGACTCGGACTGAGTCGAGAACATTCGAATCAATCTAAAAGTCAGAGTTTTTGGAGTCCAGAAGGGATGCAGAAACAAAGAAGTTGAGGTGTCGCTTCCTTTTGAAGAAATTAAAGAAAACCCATTACCAGAATGAGACTTCTTTAATCTTTGAGAGATAAACCCAGATGAACAACCAAGAATTTGTATAGCTTTTAGCATTACGAAGTTAAACAATGAGAAAGAGTGAAGAACGGGGGAAGAAAGTTAAAAAAGAGAGGGAGGAAATTTAGATAAGTGAAATAAATAAATGGGTTATTTTGGTTTCAGATGATGATACATGAATCAGAATAATCCATTGTGGTTGGTCGATTGTAAATGAGTTCATCCCCGCTTCCAGTCGGCCCTATTTGACTTGGGTGTTAAATGCTTAGAGGAGTAGGTTCGTGTACGAGTGCTTTCTGTGATGCTCAGGTTAAAATCCTTTTGACTTGTGAGGATAACTCGAATCGAGTCGGGTTGAATTTCCAGCGAATTACTCCAAGGTCATCAATTGTTCATTTTCTGTCACATTTGTACTCCATGAGTAGACACTAATTACCTTTTAGCTTTCAAAGAGGGTCAGTTTCTTCTTTATAGTTTTCGATTGAGTTGGGTTGGGTTATGAGCAGGGTCAACAAGATTAGTCAGGATTTTAGTTTAATAGTTACAAGGTGAGTTTCAATTATAATATTCTTTCTTTTATGCAAAAAGGGTACTCGAGGAACTACCACTATCCTTTATAAACCTTTATAAACACAGTAACAAAGTAACCCAAATTTAACCATCACCATTTCTAGAACATAATTTCCTTCCTGCAATTTGAATCTGTTCCATTATACATGTTTTCCACCAAGCACACATCAACCTTGGGCAGGCAAAGATCACTCCATTTCCCTATAATCCCATCCTCAGCAAACCCGGACTAGATCTATAACAATCTCTGCTGTGAAACTAGGAAAGGATGACAGTATTTTGAATATCGTCATCAGACCCCTGTCAGTTCTGGTAAGCAACCCGAGATGAGAAACAAATAGGCTCATTCTAGTCATCCTTACGAATGATATAAATTATTACGCATTTAAATGTTAAATCACAAAACCACCATAGCTGGTGGTCATGCCACAGTAGAAATGGGGGGAACGGAACTATATTCGCATAGCCAGAGCAACAGGACCATTTTGTCAATGAATCTAAACTACAAAAGTTGATCTGACTGCCATAAACATGTCAGATTTCCTGCTTTCCAGAGAAATGCAGTGGCCTGAAGAAATCTCAGAGCACATGCATTGGAGAATCCTCAGTTCATAGCCAACTTATCACATAAAGACTGATATGCTGAGTTGCAAAGCTTGAATTTCTCCTCTGCAACAGCCTGCTCAATGTGCATTTGTTTGTCAGTTTGCTAAAACAAGTTAAATAACTATGATAATACGGACAACAGTAAAGAACATATCAGTTTGAAGCCAACAAGCAATTATTTTTGTTAAATGAAAAGTCCATTATTTAAAATGTAGCATTAAAAATCGTACAAGTTTGGTTAGATAAATAATCAGTGTAACTGCTGCGCTATGTTTCTAAAACTAGATGATAACAACTATTAATTTAGACTTTAGATATCAAAGTACTTTTTTTTATATATAGGGATGATCCTGAATCTTCCATAAAACAGTCCAAGCTGTCCAGCACACTAAGCAGAACAAAGTACCCTGATGATTGGGAAATGTTGATACCTTGGAAGAGCCATGATGACGATCTGGATGCCATTTTAGTGCACTGATTCGATATCTAAAAAATTAGAGAATAATGCAATCAGACAACATAAAGAAATATCCTCTAAAATTCAGCCATGGTGCTTTCAACAACAAAAACAATTTACAAGGTTATTGTATGTAACCCAAAAAACTAACAAGAACATACAAGTGTATTTGAAAAATGCAACAAAGAACTCACGCATTTTTAACGTCTTCAAGTGTCAGAGGACCAGATGCACTTAGGCCAAGGGCCCGCCTATCTGCAGCTGTATCTTGGTCTGAACTCTCAGACGTACCAGGTTCTGTTGAGGAGTCAGAGTCCTCATTAAATCGATATCTCCAGTTCCAAGATTGCTCATAGTTATTTGAATATCTGGATGAGCTTCTCCATTGACGATGCTCCTCATTAATGAAGGACCAGTAAAAGAACCGATTTCCACCAAATGCAGACCTAAATATAGTCTCAATGTCGTCGTCGTCGTCTTCACAAAATTCAAAAGGTCCTGATCAAGAGTTTAAAAAGGGTGAGCTTCTGGCACAGTACCCAGGAGAATGACATGCTAGTGCACATAATATTCTATAACCACCTAATGAATTTAATTAAAATCTTCTGAACGAGAGCATAAATTGCTGTGAAGTAATAGAATGACAATCATATGCTTAAAATGGATCATCATATCCAAAAATGAGTGATCATTATCAAAGTAAAGCCATGTGTAAAAAAAATCAAGAACTAAGGTTTCAAAGTCACTCCAGGAAAATTTTGAAGAACAAAATCAGTCTAGAGGCTCCTTTAGATGAGCATCATTTCATATGTCCTATAATATATTTATAGGTGTACCAATGACATATTTTAAAAGATTAAAATATCATAAAGCAAAGTCTTTCTCATCCTTACTTCTTCCCCTGTACTGAAATCCCCTATTGCCAGGCCGATCTTTTCTTGATCCCTTACTGTACTGCTTTTTAAACCAAGAGGGACCTCTGCTAGATGATGGATCATCTTCACCAAACTCATCTTTCCAGCTCTGAAAACAGGAAGACCAAAGCACAGTTGAATCCCTTTCAATCAAAGATATAATAAAAACAAAAATATACAAATAAGTTAAATATACAAAGATTCCTAACTAGTGAAGATAAACTTCTGAATATGTATGAAGCATTAATAGCACAACCTAGAGCATTAAAACTTGGAATTAATAGCTATTATATTTAGAATTAAACATGTTATGACGATTTTATAAAAATTAACCTTCTATCTTTCCTACAAAAGCTAACAAAGAATTTTTATGCTGATTTTTTGTAATAAGGACAAAACCAACTTTAATGAATTCCATCAGAAATATCAACTAAAATTTGACTTAACATGCCAAACATTATTTTTAGTAATTCCCTATTCAATAATATAGCATCCTCGATTGAAGCTATCCACAATCCTAATAGATCAGAAAGTAGCAATATGATCATCTTACATTACTAGATTTTCACCAAAGGATCAAGCTTAACTGGCAAGTTCATGGATATGGATCTTGACTGCATTAAGTAATAGTTCCAATTCAAACTAACAGAAATTTAGGAGGCCAATCAAGGTCACCGTGGTGCATGTTGGTCCTGCACATCATCTGTGACTGGGACTCTGAAAGGTCCTGGACATATATACGTGCATGGGAATCCCAAAATGCAGGATAACTCCCTTCAGCAATGGAATGGCCAATGGCTGCTATTAGAGCTATCATTGGGCTCCTATCAGTGGAATATGGGCCACTGCAATACAAGTCATCCATAATGCAACTTTTGAACCCACAAGGATTATGTTTGCTTTACGATAAGTGCACAGGTTTTATTTAAATTTTATAAATAAGTCATCAACATGAATACAAACCTCAAATAAGAAGTCTGCATAAGCACTAACATTTCGCAATAGTTCTTGTTTTCCACGCAGCCTTCTAGGCCTCTTACCCTGCAAACAAAAAAAAAATTACTAGAACTGCATAAAATTATCATTCACAATTTAAAAGATAATAAGAATAACAACCAACAACAATGAATTTTACAAGATTTTTCTATCTATGTTCGAAAATGATTAACCAAGTGAAAAATAAATACTCCTAATGGAGTAAGAATTGGCAGAAAGCAATCAGCAGATAAATCCTATAATACCTAGCAGAAATAACATCCAAGGACGATCTTACTGCTTAGAAAAAAGGGGAATAAAAGAATGTGCTTAAAAGAGTGAGACCAATGCTGAGAACAAGTAAACATACTCTACCAGTACAGAACTAAAAGAAAAAGTGAAACCTGAATCCAGTCATCATAGAGAATTCGGGCAATCTGCAATCAACTAATGGATACTTCAAATAATAGCTTATGTTCATCTTCACTGACTAATAATCAAGTATTCAACAAAAATGTTCAACTCCCAAGCATTCAAAAATGCAAATCCATTCCTTTCAATAGCTTCATCCAGTATCATATGTCATGCAAAAGTCTTTTTCTCAAAACCACAACTCACACTGCCAACAGATCTCAAATCACAGTTGGCTATTCCACCGCAGATAGTAAACCAATGACTGCTAGTTTCATTTTCTAGAAACATATTCAGACATTTGATCAAGAGAGCATTATAAGCATAAGAAATAGCCACACATAATACTTTATACATACATACCAGAACAAGCAAAGAAATATTAGAGTTTTTCATTAAATTGAGAGTAACAACATAAACAAAAGTCCCGTAAATTGAAGTCAAATGAATGTCAAGGATGATTACGATGCCATGACATCTAACCATTCAAAATTCGAACCAAATTCAGAATCTCCCATTTGCACTAAACGAAAATGTTTCATTTTGCACTGAATGATCTCAACTTGACATTCTTTGGAACCCCAGATAGCAAAAAGGCTCCTACTTTATCTCGGATTGTACAAACATTCTCTTAACCCAGATTATCTAATCTAAGACACCATAAATCATCAAAAAAACAGCAACATTTCACAAAATTAAACAAAACCATAAAGCGAAACATGCTAAAAAGCACAAAAATCTTTAATCATAGAATAAGAGAGAGAGCAAAAGGAAGCTTACAAATTGCCAATGAGTGCGTCTTTTATGTTCGAGAACGGGAGTGGAATGGAAGAAGGCGGCCCTTAGGAAAAGATAGCTGCTTTGTTGGTTGAAAATTGCTGCTTTTATTGCCCTATCCATCCTTCTCTACCCAACAAATGAAAAAAGCTTACGTCTTCGCCGAGATTATTTTAAGAACGAAGATCGAAACTCGCCGCCCGGAGACAAGACAGCTTAGAACAACAACATACCGGGTGTCTCGCAGACTCGATTTTTTCGGGAGGGTCAGTGGGTGTTAATTTTTTTTCTTTTTTACTTTTTTTACTTTTACCGCGCTCAGGCCTTTCCTTTTAGTGGATGACGAGCCCTCATAGATATAATTGAAAACAATATTAGAATATCAAATATCAGAATTTTAATTTAGAGGTGTCCGTGGATCAAGTTCCATGCTCAGGGCCGTCAGCCCAACGAAGACTTGGCTCTAGACATAATATTTGGCTCCAGCCAGTCAGGGTTAGACAGATTATTATATTAATAAATATTTATTTTTATTTAATTATAATTTTAAAATATTATTATAAAATATTTTTATAGTT